TAAAATTTAATCATAAAAAAGATGAGATACAATGTTGGTGTTACAATAAATATAGTTAAATTTAAAAACCAGCTGTACGAATAAAAAAAATAACTAGTGAATTTACTTTGGGAGAGGTTGAGTTGAAAATATTCGATCAATTGGGAAGATATTATAGCAAAATAAATAGTTAAATAAAATGAAACTATTCATTTCTCAAGCACGTCAGTCAAGAATTAAATGGGAAAAATCGCAGAAACTTCATTTTCATATTTAATGCAAAAAGGAGAATTATTTAGAGACATATTGTAAATATGTAAAGGAAGGCGATTATGACCAAGTCTTAGCCATGAAATAGATATTATATGGAACAGTGGGAGTAGAAGTTTATAAAACCAAGTATGATTAGGAATAGTTGGTGAATTTAATTTGTACAAGCTGTAACGAGGGAGAGACGAGAAGACTAATATTCTTGCCATGTTTGAGATATAGTCTTATGAAGGAGTAGAAGGAATCTTGAGTGTTGTAGGACGAGTAATGAAGTTGGTAAGTTTGGCTAAATGATTTTAGAGTCAGACAAAGGTAAAGGCGCGTGCTCAGAATGCATGCCACCGTCTATAAAAGCGATATCAATCGGTGGTAGTGGTGGTGCAGATGACACATCTTATGGTGGTCACTCGCTTCTTGACTCTGAGGAGAGTCGCAGCTCAACGCTTTCGGATCGAGGCATGTGAATGTAAATACGTAAGCCAGTGGCGGTGGTGATGGCATTGAAGTGGGTGGTTTTTCTTTTAATTAAAAACACGATACATGGTATTTAGTAATTTACCACTCGGTGTTCTAGCCAATGCGACCCCCGTCCACGTCCCAAAGAAACTACATTCATAATTTTATACTTTAGATATTTAAATATAAAATAAAAACTGCGAGTGTATGAACTTAAGTGATAACTTAAGGTAACTGTAAAATTATCAATAAGATTATTTTTTTTACATTAAAACATTCATGATTATTTTTAGTTTTATAATAATGGCTATACATTTATCATAAAAGTTATCAAGATAGATTAATTTATAGTAAAAATAACTTAAGTATTCTTTCTGTATTATATAATTATTATTGATGTTAAGACTACTAATTAATCATTTTTTTACGTGTAATTGTTTAATTTTGGTCAATTGTCATATCATATTAATTTAGTTATTTTTCTAGTCACTTATTAATTTTTATCATTTTTTTTATTTTTTATTTATAAACGTGTTTAATTTATAAATGTACATTAATAAATCATACATTAATTAAGCAATTAATGTATATCACATAAAAATAGTCTTTTGTATAAGAATATTATTTATTTATCTCTAAAACATATGATATATAATATGTATTAAGTCAATAAACAAAATGTTAGTAAACGGAAACTTTAGTATCTTTTTACCAAATACTTCTTATGATATAATATGACATTTTAATGATAAAAAAAGTTTAAATAATTAAATGCAAATAGATAATACAATTTTTGGAAATAATAATTTTTAAATATCAGTAACGAAGTTAGTTTAAATTATTGAAATTATTACATTAATCTTATAAGAAACATCATAATAATGTATTGTGGCTCTAAACTAAAATTTAAAACAATTAATTACAAATGACTTAAAACAAATCTAAAAAATATATTTATCCAAATAACATCTAGAACTAATAACGAGTTTGTGATAATTAATGTTACTATATTCTGTTAGTTGGTACTAACTACTACTACTACTACGGATTTAGAGTTATTCTTAAATAATACTTCAAATTCTTAAAAGTGCCAAGCATAGTAGATAACCATATTTGTGATAAAATAAGTATAATATTACAATTATGGAGGATATGTGAAGCTAAAGAAAACTTAGATTAAGAATCAGGTAAATAAAACCTTAGCTAATGTAAATATCATATCATGTTTCATTTTTACAACAAAAAATGAAAAAATTAAAAATAAGAACAGAAAAATAACCAACTACAACAATAACAATAACTAAGTGTATAAAAACAAGTAGGAATAAGCCGAGACGACAGTTTAGTTTCAACCTCGAATTTGTAACTATCACTTCGAATATGAACTCTACAACGAATTGCATTTAGAAGAGGATGGACTCCCTAAAATTTTAATTAAACCTCTTAATGGTAGTATATACCATAATAATATGAAATTTGATGGAAATGTTCCTTATTACATTGAGACCAATCGATAAAAAGCTTATTAACTATTTTAAGAATTATTTAGAAAAAAGTCAAATCGTATTATTAACAGGGCAAGTTACCTTAGATAAATTTAGGTAATGCTCAAAAAAATACTATACAAGACTAATGGTTTATCATAAGCTTTTTGATTATTCTCAAAATAAATACAATACTAAACAAAGTATTTTTTTTTTATATATATTTTTTGATTTATCAGATAATAATTACTTTTTAGAATTATCTTTTATCGGGATGTTAACTTAATTATTTTAAATGGCAACATACATATTTAAGTGCTCGTAATATAAAAAATGATCTAATTAAGAAAATAATTGGTCGGTAACAAATTTGGGGCCGGTATTACTAGAGATGAAGAGTGCATGCATCATTTTTTTCACTAGTCATTTCTGGACTGTATTCTTCCTCCCATCTTGGTATAAAAATAAGAATAACTTCTGAAATATTGGTTCAAAATTTACTATCGATCAGTTATTTTCTATTTTATAAATTAGTTAAATATATATGTTTATATGTTTATAAATATAATTTAATTATA